TTTCCATCAAAAAATCAATCAATCATCTTGAGCAGCGGGCGCGCTGTTCACCTGTGACTCACTGACTCAAGAGGCGGTCAAGACATTCACAATTTGTCGCTCCGTCGCGCGCGCGACGGGCGCGTCGTCTACATTACTTGCATTGGCATATCGATTGGAGCACCGGATTCAACGTAAGCCGTAGACATGGCTATTTTCCTTTTTACATTGTTTGCTGTCGCCTTCTAGAACCTAGAAACATCTTCCTTTGCGGGAGCCACGCCCACCAGAACGCTAACTATTTTTGTTTTGTCACATACCCGCCCATGTGTCGTAGTAAAAGTGGAAGCTTGCGATAAAGTGTCGTAGTAACAAAAAGAATAAGGATTCTTAGACTGAACGCGAACTGACTCACAATGGTGAAATATGCCCTCAAAATGGTGCATGTTACAACTAACAAAAATAATTTCTAGATATTCAGAGCTTCACTATACCTCTTGTGAGTCTGCAGTACCGAACTTTGCATGAGTCTCTGCGTAGCTCAGCTGAACTACTTGCCAGTATTTGAGAGCCATTGCGACGGGCTCGTTCACCTGGAATTTATTGTCGACTATATTCATAGGAAACAGCCGTCATTTTCGGAGTCAAATTAATCTCGAAGGAGTTGGCCTACGATTTTCATGCATTTTTGGCGTAGTTCGTGTCAGAGCGTATTTTCGAGTATTTCCAGACGTTTGCGAAGACCCAACCTCTAATTCACAATGAGGGGTTCCAATGTCCGGAACAGCGTTTAAGGAGGATAACATACCTCAGTGCACATTCCCCCAAACAGCGCCACCGGACGAGGACGTGAGGCGATCAGATCGAACAACGCCTTCATACCAAGCGAGGTTTTGCACTGAAAAAAGCTTTATAAGGAACTTGTGAATTACAGACAACTTTTATTTTTTGTTGGATCGGACGTGCAGATTCCAGCCGTTGCCCGTTTACTTATGCTTTTTAGTGCTGCTTTGATGACAAAGCTCCTTAATATAATGTGCCTCCATGGGCTCATTCAGACTAATGGCATTGTTGATTTCCGCCGCTCAAAGCGCTGAGTACCCTGGCCCATGCGCAAGTTCAATATTGAGCGGATGTGAATAGTTTATGCTCTAACACTTATTACTACTACTTAGGACGGCATGGAGAGAATAGCAAAGTTTACGAGCAAACAATTCAACAGCAGAAGGGACGGAATCTTAGTTAGGCACCCTGAAAAGCCGAATCCTACATAGTTTCTTGAACTTTCCCAATAGACTTCCAAGTGCATCATGAGAGTTCAAGAACACATCGTCACTCGCGCTAATTAAACCTTTCATGGCAGGTGAAGCGTGCTAACTCAAGGGCAATCCATCTTGCACGTTTCGTTCGGTGGCTCACATGCAGAAGCGAAATTGACGAGTCGAAGTTAACTGCTGGATAAGGGGGATCGTGAACTGCTAGAACTTGCGATACGCCAACGGACAGCGGGCTACCGCTCCCTGTAATCTGTGGATTCAAGCGAGGAAGATTATTGGATAGAGTGTAGTGTGCCTACTGTTCCTGACCATTGTACCTTTCAATTACTGTGAACTACTGTAAGCAGTGGATGCATAGCTTAATATTAAACACTTTAATAGGATTTTTGAGCCTATCTGCTCCTCAATCAGCTTTGTTTCGAAATTTCGGCATAATTATTTTCCTAATTTCCGCTGAAGGTATGTGAGACCAGAGGTCTACACGCAAGCTAAGTTGTGACAACGTAAAGGAATGCCATCCGTTTCCTGTGAGAATACCTGGGCCTACAGTCTTGTCCACTGCGAATGATGGGGCGTTTCAATGAGGCCGAGTTAGGAGCGCCGCCAGCCCGTTTTCCAAAAGCTGCTGAAGCGGATAAGCGCAACAGTTGGTGGATTACGACTGATACGAACGATATGATACAGTCTTGCCTGCTTGCCGAAAGAAAAAAAACAGAATAAAAGGGCTGATGCTGCGCCAAACCCATCTCTCCCTGGTACGCAACATATCCGTAGTGTACGGTACTGTACAGGCAATGGCGCCACAACCACGTAGTAGCGCTGGCGCCTGCAACAAGGGTGCCAAGAATTTCCGTTGACCAAATGTCTATTTGTGTCCAAACCTCGTCAAGGACAAGCTTCGAGCTACTTCTAGTCCTGGGAACAATCTGGATGGACATAAAATGAACTTTTAAAAATAGGTCAGAAATATAATGCCGGAGATTCGGCCCTCTCTCTTGAGAGTTCAAGTAGGTATCAGCCATTGCACAAGAGTTTCTTCTGGATGATTATCTCCGTCACTATCTGGAGATGTCCTTCAAGGAAACTAGTCAGCTTCAATTCCACAAAGTTCAGTGCTGCTCCGGCTGTCGTTCAATATGAGAGCTTTGTAAACCACATGTTGCCCCATTATTCCTCCAAAACCATTTTCTCTACGCCTTCAATCCCATATCGTTCTTTTTGCTTCGGAAAATGAGCTTCCTAGCAGGTTTCCTCTGCAAACCTTCTTTTCGTAGCGTTACAGGTGATCCATTCGCAACCATGTCGAGTGCTACTGTTTTATGCAACGCCTCCACCCCCGAAGGTGCAGAGATTGCAAGCTGAAATTGGAAGTCGGCGGCGATCTATTACATGCGTCTTGAATCGGTTCCTAAGGCGACAAATCTGAGTAATCACCATAGAATCGTAAAAACCTCATGTCTCCTAGGAATCGGAAAATGTATAGCCCATTATGAAGAACAATGAAGCTTAACTAACATCGATATATAAAGAAAGAAAGGCGGAAGAAAAGAAGTGCAGTTTCAGCTATTCACAGACAACACCTTATCGTACCATAACCCTCTCTAATTTCACCCAGCTTCTGAAATTAGTTG